ATCAGAACTTCGAAATACTTTATTATGACCTAACTCCTGAAATATGTTTTTTTGACCTCAAGCAAACACACAAACAAACGCATTTTATTTCATATGACCCTCCCTACAGTCGAGGGAATATTTGAAGGTGTCAATGCAAGCGTACCTATGAAAAATAATAATTAGATGCTCACAACAATCGAATATAGATAATATTAGAGAATCTGACAAGCTCTAGAGAAAACATTTCGTTTAGATCCATCGTTTTGAGGTAGTTCTGAAGAGGAGAGAGGACCATTTTTCTGCGCAGCAAAAGCTTTAATTAGTTGTTGACATAATTTCTTATTAGAGACGGAAAGTTGTATTGGTTCTTCATTTCCATATATAAATACAGTATTTTCAATTATAGTAATTGCACTTCCTTGAAGGAGTGTAAAAATAGTGATAGCATGTAACCAAGTAGAGTTTTTCGTATCTAGAAATAATTTAATAAAATAATCTGGAGATAGTATTTTAAGATTATCCAAATCATGTTGACTCAGATATGAAGATAATTTCATAATTGTACTAGAATCCAAATCGGATAACATCGAATTAGATTGAAGAATTTCTCCAAGCGCTGAAACAACTGTATTTGAGTGTATATAATTTTCAATTTCATTCAATAACCCATTAATCATATCATTGGTTACTGTCATTTTACCTATTGCTTCGAGAGCTTGACATACAAAGATGAAAGAAAAGTTGCTCTGATCTGGACCTGGACCTTTAAGTGCATTAACGAGTCCACTAATTACCGTATTTGTTGCTGCTTTTTCACCCATTTGTTGAAGAGCTCGGCATGCTTTCTCTCGAATATCATCGTCTGGATCTTGAAGTAATTGTTCCAAACCAATAATCACGTCATTCGTAGCTAATTTCCTATTCATTATTTCGAAAGCTTGGCAAGAACTAAGTCGAACATTTTTATTTTGATCAGAAAGCGCAGCTACCAGATCACTGATAATGGCTTCGTTTATTGTATAGGTTTTACCTAGGATCCCAATAGTTAAGCATGCATAACTTCGAACATCATCATCTAAATCCCAAAGTGCAATTCCCATTGCGTTGACCACACTGTCGGTTGTTACTTTTTCAGGTATAATTTGAGATATCATGCAAATAGTTTGACAAGCTTTCCGTTGGACACTATTATTGCCATTTTGAAATTCAGCTATCACCTTGTTGATTATGGTGTCATTCATAAGTGTTTTACTTGTATTTGAGAGAGTATTGAATGCATTTTTCAAGACATAAGTTCTCGCGTTACCAACTATATTCAATAATCCGTTCATGACATCATAAGTTGCTGCTTTTTCCCCTAACTCACCAAGAACATTGATAGTATTCCATCGGACATGATCATCCTCATCTCTGAGGGTAGTCGCCAGCGCATTAACCACTTTCAAGTCTGCAGTTTTTTCTCCTAATTTTCCCAAGAGCCTCAACAGCGGTTGCCCTGATATCACTATTCTCGGCTTTAAGACCGATTATCAACGCTTCTATGACCTCATTAGTTGCTGCTTTTTCACCCATATTTCCTAGAGCTTCGTATACACTTGATCTGACATTCGTATTTTCATCTTCTAGGACAATGAGCAAAGCGCTAATTACATCATTGGTTGCCGCACTTTCATCTATGCTTCCCAGTGCATTACAAGCACTTATTCGAACTTCAGCATTCTCATTCCTTAAAGTATTGATAAGTGCATTAATTAAGTTATTAGTTGGCCTATTTTTACCAATCTTTCCTAAAGCTTGACATGCGATGCTTCGTATCTCAGGAATTTCGTCTTGCAATGCGAACAGAAGGGGTGGAATCATTTCATCCACTGCTCTTACTGTACCTAAGAGCCCAAGAACTTGATATAAAATAGATCTAATGCTTTCTTTTTTATTTTCTAGTGCAGTCGTCAACGTACTGAGAATGCTATTGGCTGTTGAGTTTCTATACATCTGAATGAGTACTTCTGACGCACTGTTTACGATCTTGATTTTCTCATTCTCATCCACTAATATATTCACCAATACCGTAATTAGTTTATCAGTCACCGTTGCTTCACACACATTCTTGAGAGCTGTACATGCATTGTCTCGAATATCTTCATTGGGATCACTTAACGCGATTATAAGTCGATTGATAACTTCAATGGGTGCTTCTTCTTCGATCAGTGACCCAAGAGTATAGCTTGCTTCATGACTAACTTCGGGATCCGTATCCCAAAGTACAAGTACTAGCCTATTTGAAACTTCCATAGTTACTACTTTTTTACCCATTTGCTTCAAAATTGAACATGCGCCCTTTCTAATTTCAGCATTTCCATTTTCAAGTGCACCTATGAGTGATTTGATCACAGAATTAGTGCAGGCTTCTGTTTTACCCAGATTTAGTAGAGCAAAATATCCTCCATCAGAAACATCTATATTTAGATCTCCGATTGTAGCTATCAGTTCTTTGATAATATCATCCATTGTTGTTTTTTGACATGTATTTCCCAATGCACGGCATGCAGCTATTTTGATAGAAGCATTTTCATCCCGAAGTGCCATTAATAAATAGTGAATCATTTGCAAAGTAGGATTTGGTATTGACAGTTGTGAAATTAAAGAGCAAACTTTTTTTTCTTGTGTTATTATTTTCATTTTGAAGTTGTTTAATAAGTGTATCTATTATGACTTTTTCATGTAATAAAGTGATACATCTTTTTAATGCCTTTGCCAAGTGGTCAAGAATAAAATAGTGATCCATTAATACAGCATGGATGATCCAGTTTTTTATATAATGTATCAATCGATTGCGTCGATGAAAATTTCTGTTATCACCAACTTCTTCAATGCAAGATATGATTAATTGTATGTGTCATAATCCGACAAGATCAATTGGTTCACCTAAAATAGTATTCCAAAATATATCGACACATGTTTCAGAACTGTTTTCTATTAGAAGACCAGATACAAAAGTAAATACTAATGTAAAACGTTGATTATATTTTTTATTTTTGATCCATTCGATGATCTTATTAGACGTCGGACTATTGATAGCATTGATCACATAGCGTGCTGCAAAGTATTCTTGAAAACTAAGGTGTAGAAAATAATGGTCTTTCTCTACTTCTATTTGCGTGCCAGTCGGTTGAAAATTCAATGATTTCAAAATGCCTATATTGAATAGATCTGGGTAATCATCTAAACAATAACCAGTTTCGACTTCTGCTTGTTCAAAGGGTGTGGGTGTGGGTGTGGGCGTGGGCGTGGGTGTGGGTGTGGGTGTGGGTGTGGGTGTGGGTGATGTGGGTGTGGGTGTGCGTGTGGGTGTGGGTGCAGCTGGGTGCGGGTGTGCATGCGTGTGTGAGTATGGATGTAGGTGTGTGTAGCTGTAGTAAGAAAGACTCACACCCACACAAACACGACACCGACCCACACTCACACCCACACCCCACACCCACACCCACACCCGCACCCACACCCCACACCCACATCCACACCCACACCCACACCCACATTCCACACCCACACCCTATTGAAGTTATACCATTGGCTGTAGCAAATGCTTTATCTAATGATATTCATAAATATTCACTATGTGTTTCATGACAATGAAGATCTGTTCAATTTAAAAGACTAGACATTCATTCAAGTACTCTTTACATTTACTCTCAATCAAATTTCAGAATAAGCTTAACAAGAAACTCACTGTATAGAATTTGTTTCATATTTAATGTAGCTGTAAAGATCGTAAGATGACTATGATCATCTTCAACTACTATTTTTAAATCCTGTGTTACTGTTCAATCACTTAATTTCTGTTTTCCACACGAATGTCCAATGTTTTATAAAATGATTGTACATGACCACAACAATAGTAATACAATCAAGATATAAAACCTATTTATAAATAGCGAATAGTAAAGAACAATAAAAGATGGTGACATTATCTAGAATTATTTTTAGATTTTAGTAAGTTTTCTCAGTATCAACTTACACAATACTACTAAGCATTTTCAAATGCCATTGAATTGTTTTTTTTTGAATGATTGCAATCATGTTCTAAAACTAGAGTTAAATGTAAATGATTATTTAGATAAAATAACAATGTCACAATCTCATTCAAAAGAACAAAAAATATTTCAGCATCATTTAAAATTGTTGTGCAAGAACAATCGTTAAGACATATAAATAGTGTTTGACTACAGTAAAGAAATCCTATTCTGATCATAGTTTCAAATATTATTCATTGTGAAACAATGGTAAGAAATCTTCTTGAACCAACAGCACTACAATCGGATGAAGAACATCATGCTCTTTATCTATTGACGAGTTTTCAATATATCAACTAATTTTAATACAAGTTAAGGTAATTTGTTCTATGTATATATGCACGTAATTTTGTGTGAAAGTATTCCATTATCAACAGTCAAAAAACAGTTAGTCAAAAAAATTTATATTCAATAATAATTGTTAATGAAAGTAACTTGACTGACAATAAAAACGTGTTTTTTTTCCTATTCATTCTCAATTATAAAATACTCAAAGATTTCTTTCTAAACAGTAGACTGATTTGAATAAGAATAGGATAGAAATGATATTTTAGAGAATAATTTCATAAAAGATAATCTACTTGCATAATTTCTCTAAAGAAAACTTATATGAAAATAAAATAAATGTTGTCTATTAGTGTCCTCTTTTGAAATTATCATTCGATTGGAAAATCTATTTGAGACTGAACAATTAATTAATGGTATTTGTGCATATACATAATATAGATATATAAGTGTTTTAACTTTTATATGAACCGAACGTTTATTGAAATAAAAAAGACTAATGAAGAAGACTAATTAATACAAAAAGATAATCATATGCAAAGTGAAATATAAAAAAAGAACAAACCAACTAAGATCATCTTACAGAAAAATTGAATATCTTGACTTTTCTGTGCGTTCATCAAATATTGAGCAACAAAGAGAAGATATTCAATCATAAGACTAAACACTGATAAAATAACAAATAGTTTTTCTGACCACTCTGCTAATTCAGCACGTCCGTGACATGTAACTGCTATTAAAAAAAATACCAAAAGAATAAATGCATACTGGAAAAAATGGCTTGCCAAAACACATTGCTCCTCCCCATAATGAACAAATATTGAGCATGATAGAATATATAAAGTTTATAACAATTGATTTATCATTGTTTGATGATCTTCTTTCACTTTTTAAATGTTGAATTAAAATATAGAAACAAATATAAAACGCCATAACCATCAAACATACTCGTGTACGACTGTAATAAAAACTAAAATGATAAAACCAACAATGAATATCTTTTCTTTTTTCTAGAGTTGATCAATTTTATTCTTTCATAACCGACGAGATAAACCTTAATCTTTATAGAGAAAAACCTTTTTTTCTAATTTTAGTAATTTCTTCCATCAACAACAGTTTTAATTATTAAATCAAAAAGAGTTTTTCATCATTTATTCAAACGAATTAATTTGAAGGTGAGAAGTTCAATTTCATTCTTAATCTTTGTATTTTATAGAAGCATAATAATATTCAAACAAGGTACAGACTTGGAACCGGTCGAGTTTTTTCTGACCAGACCGGACCGACCGTTAACCGGCCGGTTTTATGTTATAATTTGACTGGTAAAAAACCAGATGTATGTATTTTTTAAGATATGATGGATAAAAGCTCAACTAATGCAATATCAGTTTCAATATGCCTATGATTGTATAAAAGAAACGATGTTTCAGTGAGATATGAATGAATAGTCTTCATTTTATTACAGATATTTGGATCTTATGATGTTAGTATGAACGAGGATTATCACTGAACATAAATCATTGTTTAATACAAATAATAATGATCTATAATTAGCCAAACTCTGAGGAAAAGATACCAATTATGACAAGTCTCAAACATTTTAAAGTGTTTTATCTTGAAAAATTGAAGTAGTTATGGCAAACTAGTTGTTACTCCTTTATTTTCTGATTCATCACAAACTTTTTATTATTTCTTCTTAATTAAATAATAGTTAAAGAAAAGAACTAAAAATGACAAAACAAAATTTTCATAATCTTTGAGTACTATCTCACCCTGACAACGATTGTTGTAAATAACATAAATATAAATTACATTTCACATAATTCACAAAATAATAATAATATATATATATAAATGAAAATGTAGTCAGTTTTTTCTTTTTAAGTACCCATTGATTACAACAGTAATATCAATCTTCTTTAGGCCATAAATTATTAAGATAAGCTTCTTTTAGCACAACTAAGGCTTCAACACAATCAGAATCAAGATTACTTCATTGTTCAGTGACTTGTCTACCAGCTATTGAAAAATGTCGTTCACTTTCACTAGATGATGCTAAAATACATGAAAAAGAATTGCAAGTAATATATAAGATCTAAATGTAGTAAGATATGTAACACTTACCTGATCCCTTTAGTACTAAATCTGGAACACATTTATATCAAACGACAATCGTACCTTGTATAGCAAAAATTGATCTGACTATTTTAGCCAACAATGATAAATGATCTTGTTGTTGTTTCCAAAATAGCAAAGGATTATTGTCATGTTGTTATATAGCCGAAGTTGCCGATTAAGTTCAGTGTTTAACCATTCCAATGTTGTTTTTAATGACGATGGAGATGGATTTGCTGCATCGTGTTGACGAATATCAACAAAAGGATCGTTTTTGTATTTTTTTGAGGTGGTGAAGATGAACTGATAGGATCAGTTGGTGGAATTAATATTTGTTGATCATCATCAAAAGTTATCAACACATCACCAGCTAATACATGTAATCCTTTCTGTATTTCATTATAACGTTTTGCTTAATCCTTTTTGTCGTGAACAAATGTTAAAGACTTGAATNTAAAAAATTGATCTAGGTTTTTCGAAAAAACTGTCTAAAAAAATTAATTTTTTTTTTCAAAAATCTGGCTTTGTTAGGTTGTAGGGGTAGGTCTTCTCTACATTTTGACACCATCCCGAGGTCCGTATCACTAAAATTGAAAACAAAATCTTTGACACACAGACACCTACTTTTGACCCTTGATGTTACAATAACTCGCGAAAAACTCAATATTATGAGCTGAAATTTTTACTGAGAACTATCAATGGTCAGATATATATTCAATAAAAATTTCAGTAAGATTGAGTGTTCTGGGAAAAAAAAATTTAGAGGGGTGGGGGCCCTTAAGGAGTTTTCCCATATTATCATCTTATATATAATTCGTTAGATTGCGCTGCGAAGATGATCGATTGGATATATATATAGTTATAAAATTAAGTAGAAGTGGAATTAAGATCTCACAATCAATAAGATATATACATGTCTATTGTCTGTATTATGAATGACTTAATGAATTGGAACGTTTGTTGAAATTTCGTGAGAAAGCTTATCAATGACATAATGTTAAACTGTTTTTTATTCATTTATATAGAATTTCATAAAGTATGAAAAGCTGGTTACAGTTGAAAGTTATTTCCACTCTTCTGAAACACGATCTAAAAGCAGTGCTGATGTATATA